TTATTTAATGTAAATGCTCTAATAGAAGCACATGTTCTTGTATTTTTCGATCCCCTTGTAGGATGTCTTCCTTCTTATCTCTAAAATCTGGCTTCAATTGGATACTGGCTTCAATTTGAGACCGTGCATTTATTTTCGATCCTCTCGTAGAGTGTGCGTATATTAAAGATGTGTTTTTATTATAGCTTTTACGGTAATTGATTTTTAAATTTTTTTCAATAAATTTACCATTAAAAAAATTTTTTTAAACAATTTCCGGTAAACATTTTTTCTTCAAAAATTAAAATAAAACTTTAATTTAGTCAAAAAAATTAATTATATAAAATAAAACTTTATGGAATTTTTAAGTTGATTAAAAGAAAAAGAGAAGAAATTGGGGGAATTGAAGCGAGAATTTCGTACATGTACTCAAATATATGGATGTTAATTTAATATTATTTATAAAATGCCTTTCTGTTTTGTTTAAATAAATTTTAAAATTTTCCTCAGAAAATTTAGAAAATAATAAAATTTTTTAAAATTAATTTTAAATATTTTTGAAATAATTTATTTTATTAAAATTATTTTTGCGTGGATAATATACCGAAATCAAGGTCAAGGGTTTTTAAAATCTCACTCTGTAGATAATATATTTTTAAATAAATTTATAGATATTACAATATTCATAAATAAATATTTATTTTATTTAAACTTCCCACAAATTCCATCAAAAAACTTTTTTTCATTTTAATATTTTTTTTCTCATCAATTTAAGTGTTTCTTTACTACCCCAACAAAAAATAATATAATATTATTTTTCCCTATTAAGCGGAAAAATTCAATTTAAATTTAATTTTAGCAATAGCTTAACCTCCTTTTTTTATTGCTCATTCTTTTTTCTATTTAAATTTATTACTTGTCATCCTTAGAAAAAGGATCTATTTCTGTCCTTTTTAAGAATTAATGCTTGAATAAATTTATTTGATATAAAATATTAATAAATTTTTTATTAAAAAGAATTCTTTTTTTATTTTTGATTAACTACGTTTTATATAGACATATTTAATTAATAATAAATACAAGAATATTTTTTATATATTTTACCTATTTTATTGTTTGTAAAAAAATTTTGAGGGCCTCCATTAACTAGTAAGATTGGCGGATAGTGGCAAATCATCGGATTTCCGGATCTGATATCCGAACCGAAAATTTTGTTCGGATTTGGATATCCGGATCCGCCAACATTATTAACTAGTCGAATTTATAAAACGTCCACGATCAGTTATTGAATTGGTGAAAAATTCAATCCACTATCGCGATTTAATCAAACACTGGGTTGGAACTCTGTCATTCGCTACTTCTGACTCCTTCAGCATTTCTAACTCATTTTTGGCTCGAATTGAGCCGACGTCCAAGGGAAAGAAAAGATAGTAAGATTTGTCTGTAATATTCTTTTAAATTTAATTAATTGCCTTTATTTATTTAAATTATTTAAGATCCCTCTTATTTTAACTATTTTTTAAACAAATAATCAAAAATTTATTAATTTTTAAAAATTTTTCAATCAAAAATGAGTGGATATTTACAACAACAAAATCAAAATAACACCCAACAACCAAAATCTTGTGAAAGAATCGTTCAAGGAGTAGCTAAACTAAGTACATTTAAAATCCCCTCCACCCATTTAAAAAGGTTTCATAAAAAATATTTCTAAATTAAAATATTAAAGATGTTCGGAGGGAGCATTACCTTTAAATGAACAAACAATAATTGGTAGTGGGGGGCAACCAAAAATTTTGGTAAATGGAAATATTAATAGAAAAGTTGTTACAAAAGAGAATAATGAAGGTAAAATGAATTTTTGTTTTACCTAAAATTAGGCTTTAAAACTTCAAAGTTTTTCTTCAGCCTCAAAATATTTCAAATTATTTTATAGAAAAATAAAAATGAATTTTTTATTTCCTACATAGAATTTTATATTTTTTTGTCTTTTATCAATTTAATTTATTAGAAAAATTAAGTAGAATGTAACAGTAACTTCAAAGTTTTTCTTCAGCCTCAAAATATTTCAAATTATTTTATAGAAAAATAAAAATGAATTTTTTATTTCCTACATAAAATTTTATATATTTTGTCTTTTGTCAAATTAATTTATTAGAAAAAATTAAGCAGAATGTAACAGTTGTCTATTAGTAGTTAGTATTTATTTTGTGATTTTTAAGATCAAAAATTATATTCTTATTTAAATTGTAATTAAATAAATATACATATATTTATTTGTCTAAAATTTATAAAAAATAATTTAAAAATAATTTATAAAAGTATTTTATTAAAAATTAGCATTTAACATAAACATCAAACCTAACTACTAAAATTAGAGTTGAAAGTTTTGAGGGTACCGGATCCGATTTCCGGATTGCTAAATTTTTTTCTATTCGTGCCGGAGTTTCCGGATTGAAATTTGAAAATTTTGGGAAATCCGAGTTTCATCAAAATATCCGGATTCCGGACTACCGGATACGAAAATTCCTGACCGGATCCGATCCGGCTTTCAACTCTAACTAAAATCAAGCATAACTTTAAATCAGCCGACAAAACCCCCGATTTTATTGGAGAAAACTAATTTTACTAAATAGATTTCCTTAAATTCAAGCTGCCATTTAACTAAAAATCGGGATTTAATCAAAAATCAGATAGAAAAACATGGATCCAAAAATAGGCCTATCCAAAAACCCAAACTGATTAACAACTTTTTATGCCCACTTCTAATTACTAAATATTTATTTTTAGTAGATAATTGGCCATCAATTAATTTATCTCCCTCAACTAATTGTTTACGTGTTAGTTCAAGTGGTGTTGATATAAGTAATTCTAGTAGTGGATTTAACGAAAATTGTGGTGGAAAACGTTTATATTCACTTGATTCTTCAACTTCAAATAATAATATGTCCGGTGGACGTTCAGAATTAAATAATTTAAAAAATCAACAACAATTTTTAAGTAAAAATTTTTGTATAAATTCTAAAATTAAAATTCTATCAAACCTTAATATAAGAGGTCAAGGTCGAGGCCTTCGTCCATTTTCTAGTCATGACCTCAGATCGACCCAGCTTTGGTCTTAGAACTTCGGTCAGGTCAAAATTTGCCCCTCTACTCGAGGCCTTCAACCATTTTCTAATTTTGACCACAGATCGACCCGGCCTTAGCCTCAGAACCTCGGTCAAGGGTCCAAATTTGCCTCTACTCTACTTTAAAATACACCAAATAACAGGCAGACATAACTTTAAGATATTGACCTCGGTAAGGCTTAGCTTTGATTGGCCAGTTGTTAAATCTGTATCTTAACTCCACTATAAGATTTTTCCAGCCCCAACGGTGTATTTAATATTGAACTTGATTAATTTTTTTCAATAGTAAAATAATATTTTTAATTTTAAAGTTTCTGACACAACAGAACTTAGACTTAAAAGAGACAGAAAATGGTGGAACAGAACCGCAGCTTCTTATTGTTTTCTCTTTATTTCCATTATTTTAAGCTTATCTGTGGTAATTTTAAATTATTTAAATTTAAAAATTCTTGTTTTTAAAGGTAATTGGTGTTTGTTTATTTTTACATTCATTTATTCCAAAAGATTATTATAACAAAAATATTATTAAAATTAATGAAAATAAAACAATAAATTCAACAAATAATTCTTCAAATAATGAAATAAAATTGTTAAAGGTTTAAAATTTAATTTTTTTTTAATTTTTAAAAATTAAATTTAGACTTTTGTTGAATCAATTTTAATATTATAAAAAAGAAAAAGATGAAAGTAAATAAATATTTTAATTTAATATTCTTCAATCATAGAGATCGAGCTGGGTCTTGACCAAGGCCTTGGTTTTTTCCTGGACCCAGAGTCCAGGCCCAGGCATTTTTTGACCTTCCTGGATTTTTTCTGGACTACAGACCTAAGATTTAGCCCAGGTCAATAAATCAAACTCCAGTGTCCAAGAACAGGCCCAGACTTTTCAAAAATCTCGATCTCTATTCAATCATTTATTTGTGTATGAAAGCTTTCTTCACGAATTTTACAAAAATTTCTTCCCAATTTTTAGTACATAAATTCCCTTCCCGGTTCAAAAAAAAGTAAACTATGTAGTCATTCTTATATTAATTTTAATGAAAAGGGTTTCCGGGAAGGAATTTTACGTTATTTTTTTATCAAACGAAACTGTAAATATTTATTGTATTTTTTTAGAATTAAAATATTTTTTTATTAATTTAACTGGCAATGTTGAGATCATCAAATTTAAAATAATTTTTCTGTTAATTTAAAAACTCTTTTTTGCCCCAATTTCAATCAAAGCTGAAGATAATGAATTTTTATTTCCAAAAATATCAGCTTCAGTTGATCTTCTTTCCCTTACATTATTATTTTTTAATCTAAAATAAATAAATATTTTTAAAATATTTATTTTTTAAATACCTTCTTCTACCCAAAAGTGAATTTATTCCAAGTATTCCTTTTGTCTGTTTATTAATTAAAGTATTACTGTACTTAGGGGGAACATTTAATGTTGTTCTATAAGTTGTTGTTTGGTGGTGAGGGAAAATAATTTGTTGTTTTTCTTCTTCCAAATGATTATTTATTTCATTTTGGAAGATAAATGGACGATAATTAAATTGTCTTGATGAAAATATACTTTAAAATGAAAAATTTTTTGGGGTAATTTTTATTTAAACAAAAAAATATCGGGCCAGGGGGTTTCCACATATCCTTAAAAATGTAACATATTCTAAACAATTCATGAAAACTGGTTCACCTGGCAGCATTTAAATCGCTTAAGTGAATATTAAAAATCCTTACAAGGAGAAAAGGGGCAAGGGAAACCCTTGTGAGAGATGCCGTAGTTCTGATTGATACATAAACCAGTAGTAACTAATAAGGTCATGTCTTAATTATTCAATAAATTACATAAATATCTAGATTACCTAGACCTTTAGAAAATATTTCTGTAAAAAAATATTTAAATATTTACTTCCATAAATGTTTCACAATTCCAACAACAGCCAATTCACCTGCATGGTTAGCAATCATACGAAGAATAAATAACTTTAAAAAATAATTATTTAACTGGATATACTTAACAAAAACCCCATCAGATTTTAAAAAATCATCAACAAATTTATCAATTCCATGTTGATTTGGTACTCGAAAAGGGACAAAAGAATGTCCACCTCCCTCAATCAAATAATCTCCCTCTTCTTCAGCAATTCTTGTCCTTTGAGGAAAAGGGGTTGATTGAATATTTGGATTAATAAATTGACAAGAATTTTCGGCTATTTGCATAAAACGTAAAATATAATCAACTTTTGCTGCATGTAATAAAATATTTGTTAACCAAAATAATGTTGAACAGCTTTTAATTTAAAAATTATTGAAAACATAATTTAAAGTAGAGACGATCGAAAATCTCGGTTATTGAGATCGAGAATCTTTCGAGATCTCGATTCTTGTACGACGCTCCCAGTCCGGTCTCTAATTTAAAGTACTCGAATTTCTTTTTACATATGTATCTCTTTGAGGCTAAGGAATGGTTCCAAAAAGAGGGCAGTTCCCCTTCTTGGACAGTTACCCTCATCTAATGGCTAACCAGGTCTTAAACAGAGGTTTACATAATTACTAGTATTCACTATATATAGAAGTCCTACTATACTTTTTAAAATTATTTTAAGAAATATTTACGTAGTAATACACAAAAGAAGGCAATACCAAAGCCAAAAAAATGTAAAAACTTTTTCATTAATTATATTAATTAAAAGAGCACATTGAACTGTGTATCTTTTTAAAAATATTTCTTTAGATTAATTTTAATATTTACCTATTCAAATTTGCCAAATAACGCACTTCAAAATCGCAAAGAGTTACTCTTGAAAGTTGGTCCTTTTTTATTTTTTTTTTGTATTTTTTTAAATTTTTTGAGTAATTAATAATCATGAATAGTAATATATACAGCAGGGGTGGAACCGGTTACCTGAAACCCGATACCCAAAACCCGGACTTTTTTCGACCCGAACCCCGATCCGAAGAAAGTTTTGAAAATCCGACCCGAGATTTTCAACACGTTCCATCCCTGATATAACAGCCTAACTACACTGGAAGACAACCATCCAAACTAGACCTCGATTAAGGTATATTTTCTAAAATTTGGTTAGATACTAAAAAGTAGCAGCTATCTAAACAATACCACCATTTAAGATTAACCTTATTATAAGGTATAATTATTTTGGCCCCAAATGTTTTATCAAAATATGAGGTTAGACTGTATAGTATCTTAAAATTTATATCACAATTTTTAATTTATTTTTAAAATTATTTCCTTTACCTTGGAAAGTGACCTGACCTGTATATTAAATAATTTTAATAAAATTAAGTTTTATTTTAATATTTTTTACTTTGTCCAAGCTTTTCCCTCAATCAAATCAGAAATAACTTGAAAACCATAAAATAAATATTCGTCTGATTTTAATGCTGCATTTAAAAGTGAAAATTGTAAAAGAATATTTGCCGTATAAAAACATTTAATAAATAAATATAAACAAGAAATTAGTTGGCCTTTAAGTAATCTTTAAATGATTTAAATTGAAAATTTCTTAAAATTTAAATTAGAATTTTACCTAGTCGGTCTAAATCTAGTGAAAATGGAAGCAGCCGGATGAGGACAATATTCTGTCTAAATTATACAAAAATAATTGTCAATATTATACTTAATTATAAAATTTAATTTAACACTTTTTAGATATCCACAGATTTTCTAGCCTACATAAAAAAATAAAATCCAGATTTCGGAATTGGGTCTACTAGGTATTAGAAATATCTTTTTTGGTAATAAAAAATGTTATAAAATAATTAATCTTCTATGCTTTTCTTCAATGTTTTCAAGATTTTTTTATTTTAATAAAATTAATATTCCACTCACTTCTCTCAAATCAATCATTTCCGTAAATGTTAATGCCAAGGCATGAAAAACCTTTTCTCGTTCGTTTTGGTCCAAAACAGTTCTAGCACCTTCCGCTGCGGAAATAAGATGGTGGATGTTCGTACCATTTTGCCAATTTAATAACCTCCAAAGAATGCAAGGCAAAGAAAAAGCTAAAGCTTGGGCAATTAAAATAAAAGGAACCTAAATTAATTGAAAATGAATATTTTGATTTAATTTATTTTAAATACCCATTGATAATAACCAATTTGTTGTCCTAAAAATTTTTTAAATTTTAAATGTATTTTTATATTTCCACCTTCCCTAGTTTCATGACTATCTGGAATATGTTCATACATTGGAACCCTTTAAATAATTATTTATCTGATTACCGTATTTTTTGTATTAGAGCCCCATGGGGCTCTATTTTTCAACTATCCTCCAAAGTGGGGCTATATTACAGCGTGGGGCTCTAATAGAGCGTGGGGCTCTATTTTTCAACCTATTCTTGAAAATAAGTAATAGGATTTTCAATTATACGGTTAACTATATTTATCCAATCAATTAAAGTTTAATCACAAAAGCAAATTTCAACATTGAGATATTTCCAAATATGATAGTCACGCGTGTACACTAAGGCGCGGTTAAGTGCATCTGAGTTAGATTTAAGGCCGAATTGGAATTTTAATTTGTGGAAGGTTCGAATCCTATCGAGCCTTTGAAGGTTCGATTCTATTTTTCTTCAGTCCGTACGTTTCAATCTCTCGTGAATATATTCCGGTTCAGTCCCATGAAAGGATATAGATGTGATTAAGAAGGTATTTCCATGTTGACTCCGGGCTCCGGGTGGAAAATCAATGGATAATATTATTTCGTTGATTCGTGCAGATTAAAGGGATATCGAGTGATAAGAGGAGTGAGAAGGATATCAAGGTATTAAGCGGGATTTGGGCAGATTATAGTTTTTTGGGCAGATAGAGTAACTCGAAAATGCTCAAACTCGACTTACTCTACTTTATTTCACAGACGAGTCAATTTATAAAATCGGGATTTGCATCTGGATCTGATGCACATAACAATCCCGATCTCGGCCTCGGGATTGGCCGTGATCGGGATCAGGATTTGAAAAACCCGGCTTACTCCCGCCCGATCCCGACCAAGATCCCGATCCCGCTGAACTCTAATCAATCTATGCCTCCAGTGACAGAACCTAACTGGAATGAACTGCTTTGATTTGACTGGAAATGATAGAAAAGGCTGTACAGTATTAAAAATAAATTTATTAACTTAGGTATGTGAAAATTTCATAAAGTGGGGCTTTATTACAGCGTGGGGCTCTAATACAGCGTGGGGCTCTATTTTTCAACTATCCTCCAAAGTGGGGCTTTATTACAGCGTGGGGCTCTAATACAGCGTGGGGCTCTAATACAAAAAATACGGTATTTTTATTTATAATATACCAATAAGTATTTTGTATCCAACAAAAAGCCTCTATATATTCTTCCATACTTTCTCTAGAATGAGGATTAACCCAACATTCAATAGGAGAACCTCCAAACTATTTAAAAATATATTTTTAAATTTTCCCCAAAATTACTTGTTTAGCAGAAACCACCAAACAAGCAATTGCCAGCATAATTGGCGTATAATAATAATTAAGTCTGTCAACAACATCATCGTCCCCTCTAAGTTTTAATGTTGAAATAAAAGTTCTTGCCAACGTTGCTTGAAAAAACATGTCTGTAGTTGCCCCAGCGGTAGCTACAGCTGCGGTTCTAGACAAGGGTTCGGTGCCTGTTACTGCTGCACTACAGGAATAAAAACTTGATAAGAATTTTGTTAGCATTGATTGTTTGGCACATACGAGAGGAAAAAAGAATTTTTTGGATTTTTTAAATAATTTATTTAACTAATTTAAATAGATTTTTAAATTTTTTGTTTAATTAAATTTTTTAAAATTCAATTTATATATTTTAAAAAAATATTAATGGAATGCCTCTAGATTTATTTTTGGAAAGATTTAAAAAATATTTTTATTAAAAATTTTTTCACATTTTTTCACTTTAAAATATTTTTTCTTTAAAGTGCCCTGGATTTGATAGCTTTGCTTAAAGTAATTGCTTATGTATTAAAAATAAATAAGTAGAAAATGAGTGTTTATTTAAAATAAATATATTTTTAGCTTTTTATCTGTCTTTTTTTAGACGGAAGTGAGGAATTAATACAAATACTTTATAGTAGTAGATGATTTTACCTTGGAAAACACGTTGCTTCCTGAATGTGGAATTAATAGATATTTAATAAAAAAGCGAGAAAATAAATATTTGTTTAGATTTAGACAAATTTTAAATATTTTAATGAAAAAAATATTTTGGCTCTGGTCTAGGTTATGCGTCCAATGAACTTTTATGAGTCAATGATACTTTATGAGTCCAATTGAAAGTTATGAGTATAAATTATGCGTATATCTGGGTATCAGGGTTCACTGAACTCACAAACTTTTTCATTGGACTCGTATAAGTTCAATGGACGCATAAACTAAACCAGCGCCAATATTTTGTTTTAAATTTAAAAATATTTATTTTTTATTTATTTCCATTATTTTTTGGGAAAATAACCAATTCAAAAATATTTTTTAAAAAAGGAGAGGAATGGCACACTTATTTTTTTGATTAAATTTTCTTATTTTTAGATATAAATTTCTTCTCAAAAATATTAAAAAGAGGTTTTGGTCATTTATTTTTTGAATTAAAAATTGTTTGTACTAAAATAAAATAAATTTTCTACAAAAAAACTGTGGGAATATTTTTTGTAATACGATTTTTATTAATAATCTTAATTTTTACAAATCCTTAGTATTTAATTGATGGTAAGATTTAAAAAAAATATGAGAATATTTTAAAGATTTTTTATAAAAAATACGTTGAATTGATATTAAATAAAATAAAAATTAATCTTAAGTATAATTGAATAAATAAAAAAAATAAAAACTTATCTCTTTGAATTAAAAATTTTTTGTAAAGTAAAACTATGTTATTTGAGTTGTACCCATCCACGTCCCCGAGTTTGTGAATTTGACTTTTTTTGAAAGCTCCCCGTCCCAACGCGTGGCGCTGCCTCCCCTAAAACCTTATATGCTATAAATCTCGCCCAACTTCTTATTAAAATTAAAACCCAAATATGATTTATATACTAAGTATGTATTTAATTTAAACAAATAAGGAAACAATAAATTAATATATTTATTATAGACAAATGATATCATTTTTGACATTTATTTTTATTTTTCACCTGTTTTATCACATAAAATTTTAAAAATTTTTATTGGGAACATTTCAATAAACTCATCGCTAAGCCATAAATTCATCTGATTATCGAATTTATGACGTTAATTATGACGTTAGTAGGGTTGTCGGTTCTTGGAAATTCTTCGGATATCCGAAACCAAACCGAAAAATCCTCGTTTCTTCAGTTCAGTTCGGTCCAGAACCGACAACCCTAGTTTGGATCATCTCGAATAGTTAAATCCAACAATACCAGAGTTTCCAAAATTCGATACTCTTAACGAAGGTTATAGCTTCGCAGATTAAAATAGAATTTTTAATAATTAATACTTACAGCAAGGAAGCTCTACGCCAAACACTTCCAACTGGTGTATCTGGTGGTGGTGCCATAACAAATAAAATTTTATAAATTTTTTAAATTAGCAATTTGGTTGTTTTTATTTAATAAAAAATTCGTGACAAAAGAAAACTTTTTTGACGACTAGTCGAGATTTAAAAAATAAAAAAATAAAAGTATATTATTTGTGCGTGCTAAGCAACGATTAATCAGAATAATTGAATGAAGTGGAAAATTGTATTAACAAAAAGAAAAAAAAATATTTTTAGAAGAATTTTGTATTTTTCTATTTTAGTTTCAAAAATATTTTTCTACAAAAAAATATATTTACTTTAAATAATTTTGAAAAAAAAATAAGGATTTATTTAAATATGTATATAATTTTATTATTTTTATTTTTTCCTATATTTTTTATCAAAAAATAAAAAAAAGTTTATTATTATTTTTTGTTTCGTTAAAAAATTTATAATAAATATATGTGTAAATAAATAGTATATTTTTATTTTTAATTAAGTAAATTCTTATGAAAAACGTGGGAAAAATTAAACTAAAATAAATTAAGTTGTAAATTATTAATAAACATTTTCAGACATTTACTTCAAATTTGTAAGAAATTAAATAAATTGAAGGAAAATATTTCAAAATTAAGTACAGTTTAACTTGTATTTTAAGTAAAACCTCGAACTGAAAAAACAAGCTTCAAATAGAGACCTTAAAAATAAAGATATTTAACCAGAAAAATTCTATTCAATAATGATTGTAGATATTTTTGTTGGCTCTTCCCCCTGGTTAAGTTCGAGAAACTTAACTACAGAATGCTGTAGTTGCTTCTAGAAAGTTGCCACTTTGTTGTAAAGCTATTGGAGTGAGTTGAAAGAAATTCGAGGTCGAAAATTGTTAAAAGTAAAGGAAAGGAATGACACACTTGTTTTTTACGGTTTAGTTTTTTTAAAAAGATTAAAGACAATAAAATAATCAAGTAATTGAATTGGTTTAGTTGAAGTTGACCGACATGATCTATCCACAGAATCCAAAGTTTCCTGTCTCAACCTCTACCACTCTCACCATCGACGGATTTCTGGTGTGTTGGGAGATAACGGAGGATAAAGGGCTATCAGTAGTTATGTTGATACCGGTGATATCAGAGGATTTGAAGGGATAACGCGCTTACTCCTGCCTCTCACCGTCAACAAATTACACTACTATAAAAGCAGATAAACCAACACCTCATTAACTTAATCTCCTTAATTCAACAAATCTTTTAATTATTTAGGTATTGTGCAATCAGTATGTTCTTCTGTTCGTTTTGGCTGTTTTGGCTCTCAATTTCTTCAACTCTAGCTAATTCTGAAAAACAAGGATATGACAAAGATTCTATTGTAGTTGGATACGGCAATCATTTTGTGCAATTGGAGAATAAAACTGTCATTTTGAATGACAAAAGCTTGATTGCTGATAATATCAATGATGTTTTAGACAGTCAAGTTGAGAAGCATATCGATATGGACAAACCCTATTCTGCATGTATTAGTGATCTAAATGAAGAATATATGTATGGTGCTTGATTAGATATTAAAAAAATATTTTTTTATTTTCAGAATTCTGGAGTATGAACAAGAATGGGTTGAATGGAAAGGATGTTCTGTTGATTTAATCACAGAAAGTGATCACATCGAGTTTACTGTTTTGCTGTTATTGAAGGATTGTATAAAACGTGAAGATTGCCAAATCGCAAATCGAGAAGGAGGGAATATGTAAGTTAATCTGATAAGGTTATCCGAAAATTTCGGTTCGAATATCGGATCCGGATATCCGAAAATCTCAAACTATCCGACAACCTTACTAATAAACATTAAAGAAAAAATAAATTTCTTTTTGTTTTTTAGTCTGCCTTTTGCTTATGGTTTGGGCTGTGAACAATTCGTTAGGATCAGAAAAAACCAAGGACCTCTTTATGGAGAGGGTTCAACATGTCCAAATAGAGATCAATGTAAAAAATCAGGAGAATACTATCCCGGTTCGAACCTTAAAAAGCCCGATTGCATGCCTTGGACGCCATTGGAATTTGAATGGAGATGTGTTACTCCACACAATTCACATTCAAGTTTACTGGCATCTATATTTCCGGGTAAATTCTCTTCTCGGTTAATAAAAGTTTTTCCAAAAATTTTGTTAGTTGGTGCTAGTGAAATGGCTGCTGGCGTGAAGGGAAAGTTCAATAATCAGTCTACTGCCGTAAAAGTCTCTGTAAGAATCAACAAAGACAAAAGTATTGATATTGGGAATCTTGCAATGTTTTTGGACAATAAATGGGTTTTGACGGAAAAAGAAAAAATGTTGGAACAAGTCCACACTTCTTTTGCTTGTGTCAATTCAATTCTTGAACCAAAAATGTGGGAAATTATTAACGCTACGAGAGGGGAATTTGAAAATAAAAAATTGTTGACTTTTTATTTCCTGCCAATGCTGGTACCTCGTCATCGTAGTGTTGGTATAATGAAAGGGCACAATGTTGGTACTGAATGTGATAATGTGAAAATTGTTTTTGTGAGTTTCTTTGAAGAATTTTAATTTTAAAAATATTTTTAAAGTCTCGTAAAGAATATCAAATGTTAATTATTGGAGCGCCATCAAATAGAACTGTTAATCAAACAGATGAAAAACCATTCTATAAGGGATTGCTTCATCCATTGCCAATTCGTGACAGTCAAACAACAGTGCAAAATAATGATGTTTTAACTTCTTCCAAACCTTCTAAAGGTAAATTTAAGAGAGAAATTTCGGGTAAGGGTATCGCAGTCCCAAGGTACCGCAGAGCTATAACTTTGTTCAGAATCGTCGAATCCGGGACGCCCTGGTATGGTTCGATGCGCCTCGGCGAGCCGAATCGAACCATACCAGGGCGTCCCGGATTCGACCATTCTGAACAAAGTTATAGCTCTGCGGTACCTTGGCCTGCTCCCGGAATTTCTAGTAAAAATTCAAAAAAATTTTTTGTAATTGTAGATAAAAGAGAAACTACAGAAACTACTACTCAAGAGACAACAACTACAAAAATAGAAGAGATTGTTGAAACTTCCAAAAAGGAAGAGATTGTCGAGACTACTAAAGAAGAGATTAGCAGTTATTCGACAAAAGATCCTTCAGTAGATTTCAATCAAACTACTTCAATTCCTTCAATCAGCACTACAAATGGGACGGCTATTGAGATTGTTGGGAATATTTCAACTGATAACTTCACTATTTCTTCCCCACCAACACCAACAGTAATTTCGTCTTCAAAAGAAACAACAAAAGAAGGATTTCCTTTTAAATATTTAATTATTGGAGGGATTGTTGGAGTTGTTGTTTTGTAAGTTTATTTTTAAATTAAATTGAAAAATCGGGCAGGATTCGAACCTGCGACCTCCTGACAGATTGCTAGGCGCTTTCGCTCACCTTATACAAGATCTCTCCCACTGAGCTACCGGGGCATCGACTCTCTCTTTTATCATTTTAGATCGTTTAACCCCGCCTAAGCATTTAAAATGCTGCCAGATGAATCATTCTTACAAAATTATTTTTCCATTTTAAGGGTTGCCATTATTTCTGTTGTTGTCTACATTGTTCTGGGAAAGAAGAAAAAGGAAAATTTAAAAGATACTGAAAAGAAATTGGATAAAAATAATCAAAAAAATAAAATAAAGGAAGGAAGAGGGAAATATTTAAATATTAAATCTGAAAGAGACGAAGGTAAAATTGTTGTGAAGAAGGATGATGATAAGAAGGAGAAAGAGAAGAAGGAGGAAAAGGATGAGAATAAAGAGAAGAAGAAGGAAAACAAAAAAGAAGATTTGAAAGAAAAGAAAAAGAAGAAAGGTCATTTTGATGAAGTTATTGTTCCAAATACTTATGAATCTAATGAGACAATTGAACCAATGAATAAAACAAAAGGAGATATTTATGAGACAGATAAGATGGAAAAGATGCTTCTGAAACATGATAGTGAAAAATCTGACGATGATAGTGACTAGAGGGAATAAATAATTAAAGAAAGGGTATAAGTATAATAAATTTCTGTGAATATATGTAATTCTTATGCAGAGATTGTAATTATTTTATTTGTAAAGGGCATTTGTAAATATTAATTTGACTTATCTTGTATTATACTCGAGATTTTAAGTATTTTTTGAACTTATTCAAAAATAATACAAAACAATTGTGGGAACTATGGGACTCATGAATTATTTTTTTATTTCCTTACCCTAATAATTTTTTCTTTCAAAATAAAGTTAAATGTGAGTGCTTTTGAACTAAAAACACAATTAATTTAGGAATTTATTTTTTTTAATTAGGTAAATACATTTTAAATTTAATTTTTTATTCAAAATAGTATAAGCAACAACAATACTTTTTCAAAGGAAAAAGTTTTAAGATAATTTAATTATGCCCGGTTCAGTAAACTTCGAACATTTCAATGTCAATGGGCCAAGTCTTAACAAGAGCTGCCTGAAATTGGATAATTAAAGTCATTAAGTAAATTATTTTAATAATCTAAGCAACAAGGAAAGATAAGGATTTTACGTTATTTGGATTACAGGCCAACAGTTATAAAAAATTATTTGGAAATGATAAGGCGTTGCAACCACACTAAATAACCTCCCCCTTTAAACTAAGCCTTTAAATAATCATTCTTAATCCTTAACTAATTTGCCCAGGTTTACTTTATTCCACAATGAATAGGCTTACCAATTTTTCGTAAACATCCTTAAAATAAACCAGATCATACTTAGTACCACCTAACTTTCGAGAGCGCTCCTCATAATTGTGTTTTCTTTTATTCCAATCCAGATATACTTTGCTCTAAAAGAAAATAAATTTTGTAATGTAGCAAAATTAATATTTTATGAAAAACCATTTTTTAAATTATACTTCAGATAATTTCAACTTTAATCTACTTACCTCAATAATTTTAGTAATAAATGGTTCAATGAAATTCTTGTAATCTTCCAGATTATTAATTTTTGGTTCTTTGCGTCCAGTCTTATGTGAGCCTTTTGTAATGAAGTACATCTGAAATAAAAGAAAGTTTTGGCTAATTTTTAGCAAGGGAAAATTTAAACGAGTTAAGTTCCAATTAAAATTCAAATTTTTGTCAAAAAGCCCCGCCCGTCGGCCTTAAAGTATTTCATGTCTTATTTAAAGTATCAAGAATTCACAACTTGAAAATTTATTAAAGTTTTAAAACTGTTGGGTATATGGAGGATATCAATAATTGATTAGGATCCTATTTGAAATTTTTATTTATTGGAAAATTTTCTTTAATTAATAGAAGGAGATGACAAACCGTGTTGGATTTAGCATCAACACCTCCACTAAGAAAATTATGCACACCAATAAAATCTTCTTTCTTGTGTGTCCGGGCATTTAATTTACGTTCATTAACAAAAGAGGTCATGGAGTTACGAGAAATAATAATTCCCTATAAAAAAAGAAAAATAAAAATAGATTATTTAATAGGGTTGTACTCCGTCCCCTCCCCAAAAGTCGGGGAATTTGAGAGTAGCATGGAATTTATTTTCTGATTATCTAACTGTTTTGTTTCGTGATAATGATTTTAAACTTCTAAATTATTTTTCATCTCATCAAAATTTTCGCCTGCAGCACAAACAAGGAAGAAGGCTGTTGCGTGGTCTTCCAAAATTCTCAAAATTATCGCCGTAAAAATGGAAAAAATTATTTGATTCCCCGAAATTTCTACTAGAAAATTTTCCCCACTGCCCCGTCCCGTGTCGATGCCTCCCTGAGACATTTTTTAAAAAGAATTCCCCCCCCCCCACGTCGGGGAACAACATTATTATTTAAGGTCTTTTATCGCTCACATTTTTAGTTGATCTGTAAAGAGAATCCGCACAAAAATCCATAAGTTCAGGAACACACGGAAATTCACTTGAGAACTCAGCATTCACAATTCCCATAACCGCTTTTGGCTCCTTGCCTATATCGAAACTTAACGTCTTGCTTGCACAGAAATCTGCTGCTAATGGGCCCAAAATTCCAGAACAATCAATTTTAAATGAATATCCGGTTTCCTCCAAAACTCGAGGTTCACCTTAATAAAATGTTTAATAATTTTACAAGAAAAAAAAATAACCAAAAGCCGTTAAATCATCCCTAATTAACATGTCCACATAAAAGTTGAGCTTTTGCAAACCCTCGCTAAAAATGTAATATTTTAATAGTTAAAGTGAATTAGAAGAATTTAAATTTTAAAACCGAATAGTTAAAAATTAAAGTTACCTTGAATATCCAAAAGTATCACAAAAAGTCAAATACTTTGCCAATACAGAAGAATGATGTTCGGAAGCACCCAACTTTTGCAAGCATTGCGAAATAAACTGATATACCTAAGAAGATATATTTGATAATTATTCAAGAATTAACTCAAAATCTAATTAAACCGACTTATCATATAAATGTTTATTTTTCCATTATTAAATCTATATCTAGTTATAAGGGAAATCTCAGTTTTAAGCGCTAAGAACACATTTTTAGCGCATAAAGTTGGCAAAATAACTATCAAAAAAAACGCCGCCACTCGATTTTTCTTATTGCGTCATAACATATTCTTATTCATAAATGAATGAACGTTATTTCTGCAAAAAAGTATACAGTAGTTGAATAGTCGTCAAAAACAAAAAGGATGTATTGCTTAAACAATTTTAGGGTAAAAACTCACTTAAACTAAATGGTGCGCTCAGCAGCTGGGTATATGCTATAGAAGTTATTGAAGATATGAAACAATAAGAAATATCGAGGGCAAGATTTATCCTTCTGGAGTTGTTTTGACAAAATGCATCCGAGGGGGAAAACAGTAAACACTACTTTCATAAAAAAATAAAAACCTCATGTCTATGAGCAACAACAAAATCCCCTCCATAATCAACAAATTCACGATGATTTGTCCTACAATGTAGCGACCAATTTGAAGCAAAACTTCCACACTGTGGGCAATGTCCATCTTCATGTTGAGAAAGTAATATTTTTGCATTTTTCCTTCCTGGTGATTCTTCCGAGACACGCTTTGCCCTTTTGCCGGTAGAACTTCCTTCTAACAAATCTAAATTTAAATGTGAAATTGTTTAACATATAATTTAGTTTAGCATTAGAAATATCTAACACCAGGATCGCCTACAGAAATATTTGGCAAGAAAAGCACTTAAAAAGCGCTGACCCGATTTTATTAAATAGTTGCCAATCTTAATAATAAAAAACGACAGGACAGCCATGATTCTGGTTGTAAAACCAAAAAACTTGAGTTTTTATCTGAATCGAAGTCGACAAATGTGGCTCCCCTGTATAAGGAGGCAGTAAGCTTTATTCAATCCACTATAGTAAATTTGCTTTCCCCGTGGTTTTTAAAGATTTAGGGACTCCGATTCAGTCTCTAATTCGGCAATCCAGGAGAAATAAGAAAAAGGCAATCCTTTTTCTTATTTTCAAGATTTTTTTCCGCAGGGACCCTAATTCTCCTGGATTGCCTCTAATTCTACTTAATCCTACTTTATTAGATTCAGTTTTCATAAGTTCCGACACCTAATTGTCAAACTTGGGTCCAGAAACAAAGGAACCCAAAAAGATCTTTTCATTAAAAATGCTATAACTCTATTGTTAAAAAAGAATACCAATGTCAGCCTCCCGTTTTCTTGTTTCCTTCTGAGGAGTATTAACAGCTTTTTCAACTTGCTTATTGGAATTGTCAGTTTTTTTGGATTCATCGTCAGCCATTTTATCAAAATAAGTCTAAAAAATATTTTTAATAAAATGTGTCGAAATGAAAAGAAAAAAATAAAAGTTTAGGTAAAATATATGGGGTGTTTATCAAAACCTAGTCTCCCGCCAAAGTACTAGTAGAGTCAAACTCAAATAGACACCAAGATCAGTCGGGACACGCGCGCGTGGCTATGTTGGCGCAAACCATAAATTGCTTTACGAAACGATATGTCGCGAGCTAACTAGGCGTAAATAGAATGGCACAGGCAGGCCCGTAGCCAGGGGGGGGGGTGGGGGGGGGAATTCCCCCCCCCCCCCCGAAATGGGAAAAAGGAAAAAATTTGGGGAAGGGCTGTGGCAAAAAAAGTGAATTTTTTCGGCCTACGGCCTCTGAAATTTAAAAAATTTTCGCCTGCGGCGCTGAAAATAAAAATTTTGGCGCCTGCGGCGCCGAAAGAGTGAATTTTTTTGGCCTACGGCCTTCTAAAATTCAAAAAATTTTCGCCTGGGCGCTGAAAATAAAAAATTTGGCGCAAAAAATTCCCCCCCCCCCCCCCCCCCGAAAAAAAATCCTGGCTACGGGCCTGGGCACAGGCGCCGATCTGGCGCAGAGTTTGGCGCAAGGCAGCTATTTTTATTTGTAAAGGTTGCTCACTGATGTTTGCACAACAATAACAATTTCGAACCGACACGCAATTGTTATTCTGAAATAGGCGCGGCACACCTAGGCGCGGCAAAACTGGGCGCCCACTTATTTCTTCCCTAAAAATTTTTTTCTCATTTTTTTGTTCTGATTTTTGTTCCCTTTATCCCCTTCATTCCCCTCGACTCAGCTGGAAGAGCTCTTCCAAATGATATACTATATTTGCCATAAAAAGAGTAAGGAAAAAATGGAGGAGGGGGTCTAAACCAAAATATTACCAAAATTTGTGTTAATCAGAAGGTTAAAGGTCTTCAGTCAATATATTAAGGGTGTAGGTCTTCAAGGTTAACCCCGTTGGAACAACCTCCCGTCGTGGAATAACCATAGTTCAAAAAAAAAATAAAAAATCAGAAAAAAACCAGGACAAAAAAATTAAAAATTAGAACAAAAAAATCTAACAAAACATCAGAACAAAAAACCTTAAAAATATTGTGGAACGCCCGAATAGGCGCGGGTCATGTAGGCGCGACCGAGTAGGCTCAGGCCAAGTAGGCGCATGCCAAATAGGCGCAAGGGCAAATTTTTTTGGTTTTCTCATATTCAACTTGTTTGTTTTCATTGCAATTTTTTCAACTAATTTTGTTAATTATTAGGGTGTAACATAAATAATTAGCCCCCCTTGAATCATTAAATTTTGAAAATGTATATCTCAATGTTCAGATCTCCAATCTGTTTAATTTTTTTGTCATATATTCACAATAATGCCTTCTTCATTTTCTGAAAGATTTGAAATTTTTTCTTTATTTAAAAGTTTAAGGCAAAATTATGAAATTAGCGTCCAGTTCAAATATGAGATTGAACTTGGACATTCTGAAAAGGAATCATGGCGCAAAATATGCATAGCGAAGTATGAGGATGTTATCTCCTATTCCACAAAAAAAAGTTGGGTCTCCAAATAAAAGAAAGGTAGAGAGCAGTGCTTCGAAATTTCAAATTTGCTCGTACTCGTACTCGTACTTCGTACCGCCTCTTTTTTTGGCCTCGTACCTCGTACCTCGTACTCGTACCTCGTACTCGTACCTCGTACTCGTACCTCGTACTCGTACCTCGTACTCGTACCTCGTACTCGTACCTCGTACTCGTACCTCGTACTCGTACCTCGTACTCGTACCTCGTACTCGTACCTCGTACTCGTACCTCGTACTCGTACCTCGTACTCGTACCTCGTACTCGTACCTCGTACTCGTACCTCGTACTCGTACCTCGTACTCGTACCTCGTACTCGTACCTCGTACTCGTACCTCGTACTCGTACCTCGTACTCGTACCTCGTACTCGTACCTCGTACTCGTACCTCGTACCACCCTTATTTTAGGCCTCGTACTCGTACCTCGTACCACCCTTATTTTAGGCCTCGTACTCGTACCTCGTACCACCCCTATTTTTGGCCTCGTACCTCGTACTCGTACCTCGTACTTACTCGTACTTGAGAAAAAAGCAAAAAATCGAAAATTTTTATGATTTTTCGGAGCCCAGGTCATCTAATTTTAAATTTTAAGCGTTTTATGTGATAATTTTTGAATTTTGAAAGGCTTTGAAGCTATAAATCCTCCAATTTCATCCATTTTCTGCGCCGCAGGCGAAATTTTTGAGTTTTTTGGAGTGCAAGGAGAAATATTTCCTCCATGATGGGTCGGACTACCCATCTTCTTACATGGAACTTATCCTTTCCACCGAACTTTTCACATTTTAATCTCCTGATATCCCTTTTAATCTCAAATCGCTTTTTTCAAAAATTTTGCGAATTTTGGATGTTCTTAAGTCAGATTTCTATTATTTTTTGCGCCGCAGGCGAAAATTCTGAAAAATTTTGAAGGCCATGAAGCCAGATTTCTTCCATTTTTCACCGCCGGAGGCGAAAATTTTAGAATTCGGAAGCCAATAAGCCAACTTTCTTACTTTTTGAGCGCCGCAGGCGAAATTTTTGAAAATTTCCGAAGGCCGTAGGTGAAAAATTCACTTTTTAGTTTATAAAGTAAAAATATTTTAAGAATTTTAGAGGGTCAAAATCTCATAATTACTCCATGTAAAAATAGAATAATTTTTAAAACAAAATTAAAATTATAAAATAAGTTATTTATGAAAAAAATATTAAAATTATTTGGCCCGTGCATCGGAATCGGACCCAATATTAAATCACTACAGACTTTGGTCCAGCCAAGCACCTTCACCACTCGGCCACCCGCTCCTATGTTAGCAAATGAAAGGAATTAAATATATTTCTTTCAATTTTCCTATTAACACCAAGTACGAGAAGTACGAGCTCGTACTTAGGCCTCGTACCTCGTACTTTTCACTTTTTTTGGCCTCGTACTCGTACTCGTACTTCGTACCTGCTCCAATTTTTTGCTCGTACTCGTACTTCGTACCAGGTACGAGTACGAGGTACGAGTACGAATTTTGGTCGAGCTTCGAAGCACTGGTAGAGAGGAGCACTCAATTACGACGCTAACTTTCTCAAGTTTAGCGTCTTTTAAGGAGCCGAAACATGCTCGTCATGTGCTCATCGTTTACAACAAAACCAACCCAACTCCTTAGACCACAAACGATTTTAATAAGCGAAGTTCGGCGATCTTTTTAAATTTTTTTGATAAAACTTAGATATTTTGGCAGGGATGGGTTCGAATACAGAGATGGGAATGAGGCGTAGAAAATTTTTCTTTTTAAAAATAAATGGTTTTAAACTTTTATTTTAATTTTAAATTTATTT